AAATAATACTCCAAAGTAATATTTTTATATTACTTTACTAAATAAGAATTTTTTATAAAAAATTGGTTCAAGTGTTATGATGTGTAAATTATACTTTTATTTGAGTTTTAATTTTTGTGTATGAATATAAAAGTATTCACAAAGATTTAAAATACTCCTTTGTTGTCATTCATTTTTTTGTTTGTGAAATACAAACTAAGTTTTGATACGCATCTCTTGCATTTAAGTATTCATTTTTTTAAATTTTTCATATTTTTTTATTTAAATTCACTTTTAATTTTTCAAAAATAAAGGGGTATTGTTAAATTTTAACGGGTAAAGTAGGCATGTATATTTATCCCGATTTGTACCGATACCGATCCCGAACCATACCAAACCGATATTTCGGGATCAGGATCGGTACGGAGCAAAATCCCATACCGAACCGAAATATTTGGTACGGTATCGGTACGAGCTAAATACCGTACCATGCTCACCCCTATTTCCAACCATCCTTCATGCAGACATGGTCATAACCGTCAAGTAGGGAATCAAAGAAGGTATGGTCTGAATCTTTAGACGAATCATTATTTGTGCAGGTTTCTATAGACGGAATTGGTTTATCAGTGCAAAGTAATTCCTCATCTATAGATTCCTCCTTAGACTCTTGGATGTCAAAATCGTGGGGGTAGGTAGTGGGCTATACTTCCTCCAGAACAGGCTTCTCTGGAGGTGATTCTTCAACACAATTAAGGAGATGGTAGTTTATTGCCATAGGCAAAATTTCCTCCTCCTTCTGTTCTTGAATAAACATAAGTGGTTCTGAGTCAGGACCCTTAGTTGGTTCCACCTCATGTACGACTATGTTGGTTAAGACCTGGCTAGGAGGATATTCAAGTAACATCACCACCGTAGGCCGTAGCCCTAGCGATAGTTTCTAAGCTCTTGGATTTCTGTGATGGTGTTGAACTGGGTGAATCTTCTAGAACCGGAACCTGATGGTTGAATGGTTCAGGGTTGGTCTTAGGTTCTAGAGCTTCTTTTTGAACATTAATATCCTTCATTTGATCTTGAGATTGGAGGAAGTTCTTAAGTTCAACAGCCTTACAAAGATCATTGACTAATTTATCAGCTTTAGCCTCAGCTTCCAGTCTCTCTCTTTGAAAGTCGTCCAACATTTTCTGCATCATTTCTGATCCTTCGCGTATTCTCCTTTTGAACTCCTTTTCCTTCCGGACTGATTCAAGAAGTTTTTGTTATACCCGGGCCTTGCCCTATCATACCCTCCCCCATGTCCTACACACTCGCAAAAACCAAAGGACTTACGTTCAAACATTATGATCCGTTTTAGTGAGAATTCCACGTCCTTCAACCCGAGAGGCCTGAATAACTTCAGACCCAAGGTTTCCGCAGACCAAATCCCACTCCGTCCAACCCAATCCTAAACATCCAAAACTCCTTTCCATTTAATTCATTTCAAAATAAAGCTTTTCCTACTCTTATTTTAGCCTTGGAAAAAAATAAGAGTGTGTAAAATAAAACTTTTTGTTTGTTGTTATTTTCCTTCTTTTAAGCCTTTTATTAAACAAATAAAACCCTCCCTTTATTCCATTCATCCCCTGGACAAAATACACTTCACAACCCCAACACAACACCCAAAAAGAGCCAAATTCCTGACCCACCACAAACCACTAATCCCTGCCCATGTTCCCCCACAAATAACCCAAACCCATATGTCCAAAACCACCCCTAATATTGCCCACCCCTGTCCCCTTTTATTGGCCAAACACAACCCCTCATTTTTACCCAAATAATAGCCTTAAAACCAGGAACCAACCACTACAAACCAAAGCTCAAACCCCCACAACCCGAGTCCCATCCCTGAATTTTATCCCACTTTGGAGACAAGATTCAATGAGTGTTACCCCGTACTTTGGAAGTGGATGTTGCTAGGAAGCTTCCTCATGTTCACATTCAATGTATTATGTATTTTCTCCTTCCCCTCTCCCTATATAACTCAGGCCATATGGCCATTGTAACCCATCTTTGAATATTGAAAACCTTTTACTCTTTGAGTATTCATAAAATAGTGTGATGCTATTTTAGCCAAATTCCTAATTCTATATCTTAAGAGTGGTTATCTTAAGTGTGAGTTTTAGGTTCTAGATATTTGATTGAGTATGTAATATCTTGATTAAATACTAGAGTTCAACCCCAAGTTAATCTAGAGGTGAGCTTATCCTTTAGTATTAATTTGGTTCCAAATTAAGACAAGAGTGTGTTTATCTCTTATTCCTTATTTGGAATTTATCCCATCCTTTGTAAACCCATCCTTCATCCCTGATTTTCCACTCTTCTTCATAATATCAAAACTCAAAAAGAACTTCACATTCCCATATTTTCATCCAGCCCATTTCCCCTTCATTATTCCACAATTCCATCTCCAAAAATAACAACTTGATAAGACCCCCGTTTCACCCCTAACATTTGGTATCAGAGCCCATTGTTCCACATCCCCAAGGGCCAAAAACACTTCCCTCAACCTTCCTCTCCCCCTCAACCATTTCGTCCCAAACCTACTGCAAAAAAACAGCCCAACAAAACACACTTTTCTTCTGTCATTCCATACTGCCTAGAACCAGCCCCAAAATAAGCCATTCCTCCCTCACCTTTTGCTTTGGTTTGAGAAGCCAAAGACTGCTCAAAAACCCAAAGGCCCACCCACCTTATCACCTAAAAAAGCCCCTGACTAAACCATCCAAAAACCAAGCCAAAACATACTCCAAAAAAAAAACCTTCCAACTCACTGCCCATGAACCAAACCCATCATAACCTATCTTTGTTCACCTTAGGCCCCCAAAAACCAACCCCAATTCGGCCAACCTATACCCCACAATACCCTGCACTTCTTCTGTTGTATTTAGGTGCTCTAGCGGCAATCAAATACCTATGTAACTGTACACTTTATCATGAATGAAAGGCCTTGAAGTATGTTTTATATCTCGTGTAACATAACATAGCTTCAGTCCATAGACGATAGCGCTTCAGTAACATAAATGAGGACTACGATGTTCTGATTATGAGACTATTACTTCTTGACGAAGGCTATGTCTAGAATATCCCTAGTCGCACTTTATGATAATACGGACGTCATAACGTATCAAGACTAGTACGTACGAGATGAGATAGTTGCGTCTCATAGACTATAGGTATTGTGATATCTTAATCTGTACGTAGGTGCATATTATATCGATAATATGTGACTTGATTGGCCCATCTTGAGAATACTGCATGGATCTACAGTAATGTGTTTATCAGTATTCTCAAATCGACCTTGCTATAACTATCCTCAGACTTGAAGTTATTACATTCTCTGATATGTGGGGCCGTATGCTTTGATTCATAACTAATGCTATCTGAAATATTTGTAGACGTACAATTATGCGTTGGGTATGCCGCTAAGCATATTTAGAGATGTGAATAACAGATACAGGATATGTCCCTTCTACTGTATAGAAGTATAATGTCAATGGGCCCACTGAATAGTAGAACTTGGGAAAGTGCATGGCCATGCCCAGATATGTCGCTATCTAGAGACTGATAAATATCTGATCCCTGCCAGTCTACTTGAGATTCAGTAACAGCTGATTTAACTATACAAGGATACACATCCCATGCCTTGTGTTAAATCATGAAATTTAGGACAGAAGAATAATAGTTATAGAATGTCTTCTGTCGTAGAAGGTATTGATGAGATGAACGTCTTTTTCATAATCTGGGGATAATAATGTGTTGCTAAATACCGCTTATTATCTATGGTATTAATTTTATTAATATCATTGCCAGTGTTATGGATACCTAAAGGGTCACACACTTAGGACTTGTAAGGGAGTAGTATACTACACTAGTGGGAATAATATTAAATATATAGTTGTGATAATTTTGTACATATACATGTATTTCGAAAATACATATGTATTTTAAAATTATATTTTGTTTGTGTCATTTTAATTATATGATAATTATATTTTGACAAAACAAATTTTATTATATATATATATATGTAGTGCCGAATGTGTGTGTGTATATATATATATATATTATTTTATTTTTCATCATTTTAATTATATGATAATTATTGATGTCAAAAATAAAATATGATATATTTCAAATATGGGATGACCATTTTGATTTTATACATAAAGTATTTTTAATGTCAAATTGATATATTTGATTATTATTTGATGTAGGGATTCTATTTTGTTTGGTAGCTAAGATATTAAACATTTACACATGGTGTTAAGACATATACATGTACTTATGCTTAACATTAATTTCCTAGCAATTTCCTAAATATACTTTATTATAAAATGAAGTCCATATTTTTAATATACTCACCTCAAATTTTCGTCCATCCCAATTTTAGAGAGAAGAAAATTTTATTTTGTGTTCAAAGTTATTTTTCTAAAATGTTAGAAATATACACAAAATATTATAAACAAATATTTATAAAATAAATATTTTACTATATATTTATTACTCCCAAAGTAGTATTATTATAGTTTTTACTATCCTATATTAAACTTGCTAGCACAAGTTTAATCTTGGACTCTGGAGCAAGTTCGTGTGGATACGTTGGAGGCTTCATACGTTTGGCGCTACGTTCATCTCCTCAGAACCATCCCCGACCGTTCCTCCGTTCTCCGTTTTCACTGTTAAGGTAAATTTCTTACTATAACTAGTAATTTACGTAAGTTGTTCTTGGGTGGAATCGAGTTTTGGACTATAAATTTTTGTTTTCCGCTGCGTTATCCAAGCCTCGTTTCCCAACATCTTCTTCCTTAAAACCATGTCAAACCACTCCCTAAACATGTCCCACGGAGATTTAGTTACTGAATAGAATAAACTCAAGAAGGAGCTTGATGCTTTGATGAAAAAGATTGGAGAGTTCACAAATTCAGTGGACATTCTGACCTTTGAAGGAAGAAACGATCCGGAGAAGTTCCTACAGTGGCTCAAGAAGGTTGAACATATCCTAATCCTCAAGGATATGCCCGAAGGCAAAATGGTCAAGCTTGTAGCATCCCGGCTACAACGAAACGCTTCCACTTGGTGGACACATATTTCCATTAAGAGAAAGTTCGAAGGAAAACCCAAAGTACAAACTTGGGAGAAGATGATGAACCTATTGATCAAGAGATTTTTGACAAGAGATTACCATCACATGGTCCCCAAAAAAGCCGTTAAAACTCATGTCCCAACCATACCTTCGTCTCCACAAAACCCGCCCCATGAAGCCCCTCCGAAAACACCCAGAGCAAGCAACCTACACACGGCCACAACCATCCCCATTCCATCACTCACACCTACAATTCAAACACCCTCTAAACACATATATGTTTCTTCCTTAGCTACTGCCCAAAATATTCCCCAAACCTCTCCCACACCTACGGCTCAAGAACCACTTAACGCCATGCCATTACCTTCCAAAACTACTGCTCAAATTGCCCCCAATATCACCTCAACACCCATGCCCCAATACTCCTCAATAACCAACGCCTCTTTGTCTCTAACCCTGCCCAAACAAACCCCAAAACCCTCTCAATGCCCCTACCTCCAAACTCTTCCAAAAACATGCCCATCATCCATCCACAAACTGCCCTAACCATCCCCACATCTACCTTTACACCCCCACTTGAAAAATCATCTAAAACCATGCCTTTACCCCTCCTAACCACTGCCCATCACACCCCCAACTCCGGTCCAACGCCCCCACCCCAATCCGTTCCCAAAGTCGTGTCTTTAAGCCTACCACAAACCCCCAAGAGTATCCTTGAAGAGTCATCTTTCTTCATAGTTCCAACCCTCACCTTTGCTCCCCAATTTTCTAAGTCCAAACGACATTCCTCTCAAACTACCGAAACCATGCAGCCCACTACCCCAAAGATTATTTGGGATGAATATGACGACGAGGACTATAATCCCATTTGGGATGAAGAACTTGTCAAAGAGAATGAAGAAGTGTTTGAAACGCAGAGGATAACCCGTTTTGGGTTACAGAGATGAAAGAAGAAGAGCAAGACGAGAAAACCCACGAGGAAGTCGTCACTCCTGACTTGGAAACCTCCGCTGGAGACCTATCTTCGTTAACGGTACATTGTACCAAATGTGTTGATTTTTGCAGGTCCCGTATAAAGAGAGGATTGAGAAGAGTTGTATCTCGGGTTATGTTGTTTGAGGAAAAACAGTGGTTTTAATATGGAGAAGGAGTGATAGTCGATTATCTAAAGAGATAATCGATTATTGAAGGGTTCAGTTTCTCAAAGGATTTGGCGGAGATTTTCTGAAGGGGGTGATAGTCGATTTACACAAATATGTAAATCGATTATTGGTTACTGCAGATGTTTCTCATGAGTTGATAATCGACTTTTCCAAGCTGGTAATCGATTATTGGGCAGTTTCAGGGAAAGAAAAAGGAGGTGTTTTAGAAACGGGGATAAACCAAGGAGGTCTAAGAGATATAACACACTCTTATCATTTCTTGGGGTTGAAATCTAGATCTCAATTAAGATATAACACACTTAATGAAATACTAGAACCTAACACTCACACTTAAGGAAACCAACCTTAAGTTATAGAAATTAGGGATTTTAAAACAACACAACAAGTGTATTATCTTGATAATGGGATTACAAAAGATGCCTGATAATGAGGCCCTTTGGCTGAAATAAATACAGGTAATAAGAGGAAATTTCTAAGCAACTTCCTTAAACAAATATCTAGAATAATTCCCAACTGATCACATCTTTTATGGAATGAAAAACCAGAGATAATGGGGAATTTTGGCTCTGATGTTTTCGGCCTTATTGAGGGACAAAAGGGAGTGTAGGAATAATATGATTTAAAGATGATTTTTGATGATGTTTGAGTGAGATAGGTTCGGCCATATTAGGGAAAACAAAGAGGAGTGTTTGATGTGAGGAATATTTGGTGGGTTGTGTGGGGAAATATATGGTGGGTGAAGGGTTGCATTCGGCCAGATAAAAGAAAGGTCAAGGGTGTGAATATTTTATGTGTGTTTGGCTTTTAATGTAGGGAATATATGGTGGGTAAGCTAGGGGACAAGTGGTCCCTAATGTTGGTTGTTTTATTGACATTGAGAATGGCTGGTTTCTTGGGCCCTTGTGGTTCGGCCAGGTTTAAGGAAAAGGAGGGAGATGTATCAAAGTTGGGTAGTAGGGTTTAGGGATGATGACTTCATTCCAAAAAGGATTATGACATTTGGACATTATTCCATTTATTTGTGACAGTTGTAGTTTTTCGGGTAGTAAACCTTCCCAACAAAGGGGTCAGTTTTCTCTCCGAGTGTCGTATCTCTCGAGGAGTGGACGAAGGGAATTAGTTTAATTACTCTAATTAGGCGAAGATTAGGATTGGTTTATGAAAGTCTTCTCGGAACGACTATAAAAAAGGCAGAGTAAAAATAATAAATAAATTAAGTTTACATAGTATAAGTATAGATCTGGACCTAGGGTCTGGACGTCATTTGAATTTATTTTATCATATTAAATTAACAATTGGAATAACAATGTTTCTATTACAACTCATCCATTTCTAGATTTGTACTTAATCCGTTGACAGTTGAATATCATAGCCTTTTGGCATACAATATTTTCTCAATAAATGGCCAATTAAATCTTTCGAGAGTAATTAACCAGATAAGGCAAGAACAACAGATTAACCATTCCAACATTAATTTAACAT